ATCACATCCCGGAGGTATTTTGTATTTCGTTATCTCGCCTTGCAAAATGTTTAATTTGTTGCTGAGGATGTGTAGGGTATGAGTTTTCATATTCTATTTTCGAGAAATGGAGGTTCTACGGTAATAAAAGAGGTCAAATAGTCTGAAAAATGAAGTTATGATGATATTATTCACCGGTTGGGATCACCGGTACCTCTCGCTCCCCGCTGCCTCCCTTTTCCCTCTCGTCGCTTCCTCCAAACCGAACGGGATTTGATTCCTCTTACTTTATTATTCTATTTGATTATATATATATATATATAATTTTTTATTGAGTCTGACGATGCCTCTATTTATGATTTTCCCGCCAATCGTTCCAAGAGAAGGATGACGCTTCGTCCCTTTACTCCGCGACCGAAGCGTCCCGAAGCATTTTTCATGGTTCATTGAAAACGGGAAATTCTCTTTTGACTATTATTATAAAATAGGCGTGAGGACTACACAGCCCCAGGCCGCGTTAATCATGAGTAAAAGGCGAGTAAAAGGTGTGAACTACATTATTACTGCGGACGATGAGGAACAGAGCGGTACTCTCAAAGATGGAGTAATTCCGTGGTGTCGACATTCAAAACAAACACGGTGTGCGCCGAAGATGGAACGTTGTGCGAATTACGAAAGAAAGAAATCACAGGTGCCGGAGTACACAAACACTAATATCATCTACATGTCATTATCTTTGTTTTTTCAAGACCTTATGATACGAAAGAAGTGCAGAAGAATTAAAACCCAAAAAAAGGGATAGAAAACGTTTGTGGAATCATATACGCAAAGAAAAATAGATACAATATCGAAATCAAAGAAAGTGTTGTATCGTTCAAAACACAGACAACGAATCGTACAAACGTTTTCCTTTTTATTCTACGCACGAACAGAAAACGGAAGAGATAGAGTAATTGAACAATTAACCCCAAAAAACCACTTACTTCCGCCTACTTTCATAGACCTTTTGTCATGCATTACGATCAAGCGTCAGGTATTATTTGTGTGCAAATGCCTAAATATATATATATGTACAAGGTGCATTTAACAGTAATTGTCGGTTTATTCCCTATGAAATATACATGATGCTTTATGTACACGCATTGAGAAGAGATGCCAGTTATTTCCACATTCACATGCGGTTCATGCGGCCATGCACACAGTAGGAAAAATTCTCAGTGCTAACGACTTTGACCATTTAAGTGCTGTTTGAGAGGAACGAGGACAACGGCTGAGACATGTAATGGTGAACAGCTGTTGCCAGAACCGCGGGGAGTCCTGGCTGGCAATGAAAGGAATTAGTTAACAGTTAATTCTTAATGATAATGATAGTATTATACAAGTCTGCATTCGTGATGTCAGAACGGAGAGTAAGAAGGCGAGGAAATAATCGTTATTTGATAACCTTTTTTGTATTTTTAACATTGTTAGACGGCAAAGGTTGTAGAAGAGTTAAGTGATATGAGCTTTTATACTCTTTGGCAGATTCACAGTTGATTATGTTACACTTAACGACACAAAGACCAAAGACAAGTACAAGTCGGGATACCCGTCCGCACGCACGCTTTCGAACACATCACGCACAGTTAGATCCACTCGTGTAAACGTTATAGTATCAATCAGCCGTTGTAAAACGAATTCCCTATAACGACGAAATGAAAAAAAAAAACACGGAGAACAGGCAGGTCGAGATGACAGAGAAGCCCAAACAACCATGCGGCGTCTACTGCGGGCTCAGGAACAGAAGACGCGCACGGTGATTGGCCCAAACCACAGACCATTTGGCGACTCAAGACGCGCCTCCTGATTGGTCGAAATCAGTCGGCGGAGACACAAGGAGAAACAAATCTCGTCTATGATTGGTCAAACAGACGCTCGGCCATATACAATTCATATATATAGTAAAAGGCGACTGAGATCAAGATTAAAACTCAATTCATATTCCTCGTTACGAAAGAATATGACGAAATTATAGCCTGAAGACCTTAGAAAAGAGCACCATAGTACATGTAAGAGAAACATGCACTTCAAAGGAAATAAATCACGTATATATATATATATAATATATATATATATATATATATATATATATATATATATATATATATATATATATATATATATATATATATATATATATATATATATATATATATATATATATATATATATATATATAATATATAATATATATATATATATATATATATATACGCATATATGTATATACAAATAATTCTAAATATTTGCAGAATCTTTTATCCCTTTAACTTTTGAACTGTGGGATAAAAGACTGGAACCGCCTCTGACAGCGAGCTTCGGTCCCACACACCTGTCCGGTCCCAGGTGTCTCCCCCTCAATTGACCATCTTTATTGATATGTGTCTTTTGTTCCAGGCTTATTTCGGTCTCTATTTCGAGTTGCCTGTGGAACGTGCTGTTAAAAAAAAGAAAAAAAAAAATGTTTTCTATGTACAGTCTGTTTTTTTTTTTTTTCAGATGATGGAATATCAATTGAGGAAAGTTCGATTTTCTATTGATTCTTTTTTTTTTTTTATCTATTACAAGGACCTTTAATCCGATCAGAGAAGACGAATGTTCATTTCGTTAAATCTTTTTTTTATTATAATTACAACGGCATCGCCATCATTGCTCCTGGATTGTCGTCAGATGGATTGGATCTCAGTCCTCACGGATCTCCGAGGACTCACGTCTCCAGAGTCCTTTTTCCTCCGGCGAGTAAGAGTAAAATATTCACGGTCGCGGTGAAGTCCCACTCGGTGCTGCTGCTCGAACACCTGACCGCAGCAGGTTCAGCGCCTCTCCTCTCCAAGCGGACCTCACGCGATGAATACGAGAGCAATAAGGACCATCAGCGTATCGCCGTCTGTGTCATTATCTTCCTTAAAGCACGCAATCACATAATCACCAGCGTCAAATCACTATTTTTTTGGGGGGGGAGGAATATTTCCACGAAGAGCTGACCGGGACAAATACACACACCTATGCTTGGCAGCTCTGTTAACCTTAACAATTAAGTAATGCTACTGATATGGTTGTTTCATAGTCATCGGGAAAGAACGGACTACCCTAAAAAAAAAAAAACACCTTGGAAATAGAAACGGGAATACTACAAGATCTCTTCATTCAGCTCCTCCTTCGCGAAGTCGTCCTCGGCAGAACAGGCATCTTGCTCTCTGTTTAGCAACCTCCTTGAAGAAGAAGTCCTTCGGCGGCGACGACGACGGGGTCCGCCTCACCTCACTTGACTGGGACATCCGGGACATGGCCGCCCTCGCTCGCTTCGCTGTCCATCATCGCACGGGGCTTCACTTCACTCGCTTCAGATGACTCGAGGGAACTTGGATGCGCAGTTTACGGTTTTTCCTTCACCTATAACAATCACAGCGAGGTTGGCGCTGACATCGTCTGTCGTTAAGTTCCCTCGAAGGAAAGATAAAAAACGTACGTGTTTTTTTTTTTTTGTCTTTATGAGGTAACCCTCTGTCCTTTTTTTTTTACCTGGTTATTGACGTCTACGACTATTGTCGGGGATTAAATATGGCTTTTAGCCGTTATCACAGCGGCCCAGATGGTCCAGTAAGTCTTAACTGCGTCGAAAAACTTCCGGATGTAAATTATGTCACAAAATCCTGAAGACGATGAACATTTTTTCTATTATACCTAAATATATATTTTTCACTTTTGTCTTTCTTTCTCGCTCAAGCCACTCTGGATTCGAGGGAAGCGGCGAGCACCGCGACGCGCCCGCGAGATGCCGGCGCCTCCGCGACGTGGCTCCTGGTGCTCGGACGCCCTCGTGGCTCGGGTGCTGCCGCCGGGGAGCCTCGGCCGCCGCCCGCCCGTCTCCTCGCAGCCTACGGTAACGACGGTTCTTCAGGGATGGATAGTCCTAGTCGATCGGAGTCTCCTTCAGAGCAGAGCCTCGTTCTCCGTCGCCCCCTGGCTGCCTCCCTCCGTGGCCGTGCGCGAGGGCGTCGCCGGCACCGTGTGCAGCTTCACCCCCTCCGACCCTGGGGGGAGAAAAAGGACGTGGCGTTAGGGCGGCCTCGCGGGCGGCGTCGGCGGGGCGGGAGGGAACGCTACGGCTCGCTATGAAAAGAGAAGGGGCGTGAGAGGCAGGAACAAAAAAAAAAAAAAAAAAAAAAAAAAAAAAGGGGAGGAGGGCGATCTGCGATATAAAGGAAAATGACACAAAAATTAGAAGGAAATGAGGACAAAGTGGGGGAGATGAGACGGGCAGGGGGAACTTTGCTATTTGGGTAAAGAGTGGGCTTGATCTGACAAAGGGGAGAGAAGTCGAGGGGCGTGTCCAGAACCAGCTGATCTGGCGATAGAGCTGCCTGGGTGTTTGTGTGAGAACGGAGGGTTGCATAATAGCTAGTAATAAACAGCTGGAGGCCCGAAGCTCTTGAAATCCCCTTGAAATGACATAATTATTTGCCTACTCGAAACAAAATAACCTCTCGTTAATTGCAGGACAAAAGAAAGACAGTATTTAGCAAATATTAGACCTGAATGATAACCTTTAGTGATTATCCTTTTCAAATTCACACCCAACTGTAATCGTCCTTACCTATTAATTCATATAAAACCCCTTCATACACTGTATCATTACTCCCAAATTGATAGGATTTCCCTGACATCGTAATATTTATAGTAAGAATATTACAAAGGCATCGATAGAAGTCAATATTTAGGAGAAAAAAGCCTTTGATATTTGTATTGCTTCCTATACGACATACTTTGTTAGTGTTTAATAGACTGATACGTATTTGATCGATCGTATTACGTCATCAGACTGTGTGTAGACTTTATTCATCGAGAGAATGTACAGAATTTTAGTAATATACCTGTACTATACTTTAGAGACCAATAAGCACCAATGATATATTAATAAATGATATAAATAATATCCGAGGGAAAACTACTGTGCACGCAAAGCAAAATAAAACAAAAAA